GAGATTTTTATAAACTTTCTATAAGCTCAGGAATGAGCTATCAGGCAGTGGGGGCAGGCTGCCAGCAGTCACATTAATATTTCAACAGCTATGAACCTTGTTGTTGTGATTCTCAGGTAAATGTATATTTTCTGAGTGAGAATATGTGTAATATAAGCCATCTATGCACAAAGCATGAGACCAAACCTGCCAGATACTAGTCTTAAAACAATTTGTTCATGAGAGTTAGCCCAACCTGGAAAGCAAGTCACACACCATGGCCCAATGTCACACACTTTTGCCCAAAGACCAGTGAAAAATGCCAAAAATTATTATTCAATGACATACTAACAATAAACAGCATATGCTGATGGATAGTGGCCACTGCCTGCCAGTGGATGTCACCAGTGTTTGGTGGTGTCTGCCACCTGCCATGTGAATCGACCGGACCAAATACCAGTGGCAGCCAGCATAACATGCTGAACACTGGTGTATCCCAACATACCCCACTACTTGCCACTGATACACAGCAATATTCACCAGTTGCTGCTGTATTCCGATGGGTTCCAGTGGACAACGAACGGTGGTGTTCACAAGCGCTCACAGTGACGCACCCGTATATGGCAAGGACCGCCGGCGAACACCAATGGCCACCGGCGAACACCGGTGGTTACCGCTGGAAGTTGGCGAACGCCGAAGTTGCAAGTCACGGGCTTATAACTCGGTCTCGGGCTGGCTCGCTGGTGGGAAGGAGACTCAACTCGAGGCCGTGGCACTCAGGTGCTCTCTTCACGCTGGTCCCAGGTCTCTCGGCAAACAGTTTATCGCTCTGGGTTGTTCGCTTTCGGTCTTCTGTCGCACGTACTGTACTTTTACGACCGTACCGGATGTCACACGTCACACCGCTTTTCCGCGGACACCGCCAATAATATTCTCCCGATTTGTGGCGATTTTGGTGAGTTGTCGGAAAAACTTATTTTGGGCACTTTCATCCGGTATGGTCGTAAAAGTACAGTCTCGCGGATAGATGCCTCAAGTAAAAGACGTCTAGCTGACCACTAGCAATAGCGAAAACTTTACGAGCGATTTTGCTAATTGGTAGAGCGGCCTGAGGTGGACTTGTTATCGGTAAGTCCGGCGAGGCGCCAGCCTTGTGGCGTCGCCGCCAGGGCCCTGCGTGCTACCCCGGGTCGTTGTGCCAGTCGGCGAAGTCGCTCATGAGGCTTTCGCTGTCGCTGCTAACATCGGCCCCCTGCGTGTCGCGAGGATCTGAAGACATTGATTGAAGTGAAGATGAATAAAAAAATAGGTACAGCTAAATACAAATAATTCTTTTACACTATAGGCTACAAGTCATTTTTTGTTCGAATTTCTACAATTATCTACTGTTTAGATGTCAGTTTCCACCACTTTTCCACCAAAGAAATCCTGTATGTGGGTTTTCTGTTTTTGAGAGCGATAGGGACCGGAAGCGAGAGACAGAGACGAGCGACGATGATTTGAAAAGAGACAGAGAGCGAGCGAGCAGAGCGAAAGTCGGAGTGACAGCGAGAGCAAAGGCGAGAGCGAGAGCGAGATTGAGAGCGAGGAGTCGAAAGATGCCAGAAGACCGAGAGAGCGAAGAACCGTCGTTTGCCAAGAGAGACCCGAGACCGATACCAGAAGAGACCACCTCAGCGCCACGTCGGCCTCGCGTTCTCCTTCCCACGAAGCGAGCCAGCCCGGGGCCGACCACCACCACCGGTCTGCGCCTTCCCATCCGCAGGAGTAGCAGCAGGCCCGCGGCGGCGTGAGGCGTTGCGCGTCACGGTGCCCAGCACAGGCCGCGACGCAGGCGGTATGCGCGGCGCCGCACCATCATCGTCATCGTCGTCGTCGCCAGGCACCCGGAGGAACGCGCCGCCGAGCGCGGCACTCAGAGCGGCGAGGCCCTCGTCAAGCGTGGACGCGCCCGGGAGTGGGAGCGAGACGCAGGGCGAGATCACGATCGCGGGCACCACGTCCCCCGCAGGCGCGGGTTCCGGCGACGCTGGCGACGTGGGGGCAGACGGAAGGGCGAGCGCGGCGAGTGCGGCAAGGGCGGAGAACGGGCGGTCGGCAGAATCCTGCGAGTAGAGCGAGTCCTCCGAGAAGCACGAGCGCAGCGCGGGCCCGTCCTCGTCGTCCTCTTCTTCGGCGATAGTGTCCAGTGCAGGCGCGTCCGAGACGCGTGGGCTCGCGAGGGCGAGCGTGCTCGGCGAGTGCGGCAGGCCGGGCGCGTCTTTGTGCGTCGTCACCGCCGCGCTGGTAGAGACGGGGGCGAGTGGTGGCGCGCCCTTGACGAGCGCGCGCTCGGGGAGGGCGATGGGCACGGGTGCAAAGAGACTCGTCGCACAGTCGGCCTTCTCGTCCTTGTTGTCGTCCTGGGGCAGCACGGGGCATATCGGCTCCGTCGGGACGTAGAGCACCCACGGGATGGGCTCGCGCATGTCCTTGCGGATGCGCTCCACTTCCGCGGCCCACATGCGCTCGTCCTCGACCCACAGCTTGCTCTTCGGCGACAGGCGCTGCGCCTCGACGTCGGCCGCCGGAGGGGCGGAGGGCGTGCGCGGGCGGGAGAGCCAGGCCGGCGTTGGCTTCGCGCCGGCGAAGAGCGCGCGCGTGTCGCGGATGAGGCTGCCGTCGAGACCGTGCAGGAACCACCGAGGCCGCGACGGGCGATGGCCTGGGGAGAGCATGCCCGGGAGCAGGAGCGGGCGCGGCGCATCCTTGGCGGAGTGCAGCGGGAGTACACAGTCGTCGCGTGGGCGCCGGAGGTAGCGGAAGACCTTGAAGGAGAGCCAGCCGAGCAGGACGACGAGCGAGAGGGAGAGCATGCCGACGACGGCCCAGAAGAGAGTCGGGGAGCTGAGCATGAAGCCCCGCAGGGTTGGTGCAGAGCGAGAGGTGGAACTAGGAGGGACGGGGGCCATGGCTGTAAGTGTGTGTTGTTGGTGGGCGACCTTGACGAGTGGAGACTTGAGGGGATGAGAGTATCCAGAGAAAGGTCAACGAGGAAGCAAACCGCGCGGAAGGCGGATTATATGCGCTGCTCGCTAGCCAGCCAGCATGCCAGCCTAACCGCGCCATCCTCCAACAATCCCCCTGACCATGCCTACGGACGATAGGACCCAATTGCGGGAGAAGCCGCGTCAAGGCTTCTTGTCAGCCTCCACCGGCACTATTTCTCGCACATCCCGGTGTAGGTCCAGAATGTCGACCGGAAATCTGGCTTATGCCTGATTCGTGGATCGGTCAATTTCGATATATGAATGACCCAGCCGAGAGCACCTACCACGGTCGAGTCGTCGGCTGAGGAGAGGAACAGTGTGGGCTCTCATACGACGTCAGTCAGCCTCGGGCGCGAAGATCTTGGTCGGATCAAGAGCTTCGCCTTTGGGATTCAGGACGGTGAAAGCCATGCACTTTGGTGTCAGCCGCAGTACAATCCCATGGTCCATGCTGGGAAGGCCGCGTAAGGAGGCGGCACGCGCCAAACGGATGAAAATGTGAATCTCGAAGACTTCTGGCAGCCACCTCGCCGATAAGCCTGTTCTGCCAGTCCGTCCTGACGGCGAAATGGTAGCTCCACATATGTACCGCTGGCCACTAACTTGGGGGGGGGGGGGTGGTAGTATTTCTGGAGCAGCATAAGACGACTTCGAGCAGGGCAAGCTAGCCGTTACACGTTAAGTTTGAATAGCTTCGCCATAACTTCACGAGGGGAAGCATATGATGGACATCTCGGCATACTCTACATGATTCGTCCATCCAGGGTACCTTCAAACCAACAACCGTCAGCCACCCTCGAGCCGTACCAGGATGAGATACACACACACCTAGCATGCGCCCACAGCTCCAGCACCCTCTCCGTCTTCAGCAGCCCCACGACCTCCGAGTCACGCTCCCACACGAACGGCCCATGCGTCTGCACCTGCGGCACGGCATGCAGGTTTGTTGCGAGTCGCTCTTCGTGTGTGGCAGAGTCCGCCGAGCCGATGCTGTACCACGTCCACGCGTTGCGCTCTGTGCCCTTGTCCTCCGGATACCCGCTCCACCCCTGGTCGTGCCCACGCACGAGTGCCTCCACGCGCAGCACGTTGTCCAGCGCGGCCGTGTCCGCCAGTCGCGTGAGTTCGATACTGAGTACAGGAACGTCCGCGTGATGCGTCCGTGAGTCGCAAACAGAAAGCGGCGCTGTTGTGCACGCGGTGCGGACGTGGTAGTACGCTGCGTGGTGCAGGATCATGTCTGCAAGTTCGGTTGGCACAAAGTGACGCAGCAAACGGCGGACGTGCTGAATGTCGAATAGTGAGGGGTTGTGGGGGCCACTTGGGCCTGGGGAGGGTTCGCCTGTCCGTATTCACTGTTTCCGTGCGGCACCGGACATCTGAGGGAAGCTTACCCATGATCCATGAGCCGATGCGGTATAGCAGAGACGACATTCTGCTCCTCTCGTGGCCTGATCCAAGACTATGCAGATTTGTGCAGCGTAGCTCGCGTTCGTTGGGTACTTGCAAGTTCGAGGAAAGGAAGAAGTCTGTGTATGGACGTGTCGCCCCCGTGACCTCGTCGTAGCCACAAATCGAATATCAGCAACGTTCGCCCGCAGGAACGAGAGACTAAGTGTACGAAAGAAAGCTCATGCGATGGCTGATTCAAGCTGGGTGTTGAAAATGAGGAATGGTGTAGTGGGTTAGTATACTGCTCTGAATATTGCCTATCATGGGCCATGCTGGAGAGGTAAGTAAAGACGACAGCGTCGGTGCTTAGGCGGCTACAATCAAGTTACAAAGCTTTACTTACATAGATAAGCGGCTATTTCAATCACTTTTCTATGGGCATGTAAGAACGCATAATTGCCGAACTTAAGGCGTCGTAGAACGTTTTCACTACCACGCCTTCCTCTGTCCCGGATGGCGTCCAGGGTAGCTCGCTTGACCCAGTTGTTTACACCTTTCTATGCTTCGGGAATAAATGCTCAACTCGTCTACCCGGCCACGTCCGTAATTGTGAAACCAGGCGAGCTCTCCTCCGCGCTCATGAGGCCCCTGCAAACCGCAACATATGAGCCGCACCGGTCGCCCGAATATCTTGCAGCGACGCTAGCAATTGGTATCATGAATGGTGTTTTGAATACAATCTCAAGTTTTTGTCGTTGTCGAAGAGCGCGCTGTGCGTAGGGCATCCGTTCCTGGACGGAAACAAGAGAACCGGTATGTGGCGAGTCATTAGTCTCGTCCCCAGCCATTCTGGTACGCCCGG